GGGGGGGGAAGCGGGAGCCGCTGGGTTGACTTCCAGGTGGAGGGGAGCTGGCTAGTGAAGTTATATAGATGGTACATAGATGGGGAGGTTCTGAACCCCAAGAGGTGGAGGGGGGGAAGGCGGGGAGGGAATATTCCAGGTGGCAGGAACAGTAGATGCAGATCTGGGATATGTGTGGTATGCTAAGAATTCAGTTTGCCTGGAACCCAGAGTATGTACACAAAGGAAAGCGAGGTGGGGTTCGTCACAGCCTTGAAAGCAAAGCTCCAGGGGCAGTGGGGAGCCAGGGAGGCTCCAGAGCAGGGGGGTGACTACATATGAGCACATACAGCTTCGGCCTCCTCCGTCCAGCCGGCCAGTTCCTCCGGCAGCGCACGGGCTCTGAAGGGGGACAATCCGAGAGGGAGCCTCACTAGCCTGTAACTGCCCCAGGGCATTGCCTCTCTGGGCTCCAGGTCCCTCGTCTGTAAAACGGGTTTCCCTGCCTTGGAGGAGTCTGCGAGGACCCAGGACTGGTCCGCACAAAGGGCCTGCGGCAGGCCGGGATCACTGCGCACTGTAACCCTGTAACCGTAAACAGAGCTCTGCGGGCAAGGCGCTTCTCAAAGACCCCCTAGCGAGGGCAGGCAGGGGCCAGGCGGGGAGGGCATGCTGGAAGGGCTACGGTGACCTTCAGGGACCAAGAGTAGGAGCGCCCCAGCCCTGGGAGGAGGAGGCCACTGGGGCCTCTGGCAAGCCCCCTACTCCCAGCTTGGCGGCCCCCAACGCATCATATGTGGTGCCAGGAGCCCGTTGCTAAGAGACCTGTTGCTAAGTTGTAAGTTGGGCCTTTTTACTCCAAACAAAACTGGTGATTATCTGCCAGGGAAGCAGCCCATTGATGGGGGAGGGCCTCGGGCAGAGGCGGAAGGGTGCAGAGAGCAGGAAGGGGGCTGGTACCGTAATCAAGCCCTTCCCTGCAGGCTTGTCATTCATCAGCAGCAGAGGCCGAGTGATCTTCTTGCTGGAGACGATCTGGGGGGGGGGGGGGGCGGGAGAGAGGAGAGTGGCGCTCCTGAGGGTTGGTGGGGAGGAAAAACGCTCAACAGCCACCACTCACAGCACGCGGCTCCACGCGGGCGCTGGCTACAGCCCACCCCTGCATGACTGTCCTCCCAGGAGGCAGCCAGCAACCGTCGCTAACTCCACTGGGCAGCGAAGGAGACAGAGGCCCAGAGGTGTTGACACTTGCCCGAGGGCCCACAGCTGGTGTGGAATCCCCCAGTCCCACCCCCACTGACCTGGTTGCCCCCAGGCAAAGGCTCTTGCAAGGGTCACCTTCCGAGGCACCTGCAGGGAGTCGAGCCCCCTCATGGCCTCCCCTAAAGCCATCTACAGATACCGCCCCTCACCCACAGGGTGTGATCCCTGATGGAGAAGATCAAATCCTGACTCCTATTTTCATGCTCCGAATAGGGAAGACATTCACACAGCGCTCAGCCATCAAGACCATATAGACAGGGAAAGCAGAACACACTGTAAAGCTGCCCTCCACCATCTCTGTACACCCCATTCCCACGCTCTTCGGGGGCCACCTTGGTTCTCAGCTTCTTGGGGGAAATGCCAGTGTTTGGGCTCATCTGTGCACGTTCCTATCCTCCCGTGCTGGTTTTCCTCCCCAGCCCACTTTCGCCCTTCACCACCTGCTCTGTGCCCTGGTGGCCTTCACCGCCGGCACCCCTGTCCTGCGGGTGCGGCCACTGGGGGCGTCCAAGGGCGCCGGAAGACCAGGAGCAGGGAAAGGCTGTTTGGCACACGTGACGCTCCTCGGGGGGCCTTCGCTCTGGTCCAGAGGCCTCCCCACCCCGCACCCCCACCCCCGCTTTGAGACGCCTGCAGACATCCCACCTCTAGAGCTCCCCATGGAATCATCTGACTCTTTGTTGCAACTGCAGAGCCCCCACCCCGTGGCCGCAGCTCTCCCCAGGCCCTGGCCACTGGCTGCCAGCCCTGCCCCTCTCCCTGGGCCAGGGGCGGCCGCTCACCCTGCAGCTCCCCTCCCGTTACCCCTGGGGGGCGTGGACCCCAGGCCGGAATCCCAGGACACGCCCTACTTCTCTCACAGCGGCGGCCCAGGCTTGGTCCATCCCTCCTCCTGGAAGGTCCAGGCCATTTCAGCGGGCGCACTTCCTCCACCATCACTGTGGCCGGGCGGTCATCATTAGCCCCGAGTGAAATGGGGGGAGGGGAGGCGGAGGCCCGGGAGGGGGCGGGGCTCGCCCAAGGGCACACAGCCATAAGGATGGTTGGAACTGGTGCAAGGGGCTCCCAGCCCTCCCTACGCTCACCAAGGACGGAGCTGGATGGGGGGAGTGTGGCCCGCAAAGGGAAAGGAAGTTGCCCAAGTTTACACAGTAAGCCAGCTGGTCAGATGCTCCTGCGCCAGAAGTCAAGACCACATCTGATTTACTTCTAACAGTCAGAAGTTCTGGCCACGCAGGGTCCCCATTCCTGTGTGGCAATAGCTTGCTGACACTGTGCTCTGGGAACTCTTCAGCCTGGCCCCAAACCACCAGGCTACTCACCCCCTTTTGTACCTGCTGGCCCCCAAGGCTATCTGCATTTTCAGTGCTACCTTGGAAGCCAGCCAGGAAGACGGGACTAGGGAAAGCAAGTGGCGGAAGAGACTTGGTCCAAGGCACTGCCCCGTCCTTGGGAGCAGCGTGATGACGGGCGTGGGGACTGCCTTGCCCTTGGCCCCCTGGAGGGGTCCAGCTCACCGTGCCCAGGCTGCAGGAGAACTGGCCCAGGAAATCATGCTCTTCCAGCTGTGTGCTGGACTTGTCCTGGTCGAATAGGGCGAACTTGAGCTTCTGCACTTCCTCGAAGTGGTAGTCAAGGACGAACTTCTTGGAGAACGCGGGGTTGAGGTTGTTGACCGCGGTTTCCGTCCTGTCATACTAGCAGAGGGTCAGGGAGACAGGACCCGGGGTCAGGCAGCTGGCTCACGCCTTCTCGGGCTTCCTGGAATCATTCTGCGAACTGGCTGAACACCTACTCCTGGCCAGTTACCACTCCCAGCTCACAGATGAGGACACTGATGCACAGAGAGGTTAAGGGACTTACCCAAGGTTGAACAGCTCGAGGGGCAGTGTCAAGACCTGAACCTAGGTTTGACTCTAGCACTGAAACTCTGAAGTCTTTGGCCCCGGCGCCATACTAGGAGCCAGGGCAAGAGCTCGAGGTGTGTCCCTGCCTAGGTAAGTGACAGACAGCAAGTCCCTTTTCCCCTCAGGGCCTCAGTTTCCAGTTCTGTAAAACGACGGGATTTGACTATCAGTGGTTTCCATCCTTTTTCCCTTGGAAGAACCCTTTTTCCAAACCACATTTCACATGGAAGCTGAGAGACAGAACAGAAAAAAGGAGGGGTCCATAGGGGCAGGTGGGGGCAGATGTTTGTATCTGGGCCTTGTGCAGCCCAACACCCCCCACCTACTATGGAAACCAAGGCTGGGGTAAAGGCTGGGCCTTGTATTGTGGGTCAGGGCTGGGCGGGGACAGGAACCCCGCCTCCTGGCCTCTCTGCATGGAGGCCCCAAACCGCAGAGTCCGGGTGATGGTCTATTTTGGGGCCCGGGCTATGTTGATTTTTCCTCCCACCCAGTCCCTTTCCAAGGGCTGGAGGAGCAGGGATGGAAGAGGTCTTGGCCCTGGGCTATTTTTAGCAAGGGTGGCCAGCCTGGGTGAGAGAGAGATTGTCTGGGGGGTGGGAGTGGGGTATGTGTGTGCTGTGAGTGGGGGTGGGGTGTAGTGGGGAGGACACCGTTCCCTGAGTGGTAGGTGGGGGCTCCAGAGACCTGGCAGAGGGGACCAGGATGCTCCAGGCACACTGGCTTCAGTCCTCGGGTGACCCCATGTCCCACCTCCCACTTCTGGCTGCGCTACCATCGCACTGAGTGACACAGAGGAGTCTCTACCCATTCCGGGCCCTAGTTTTCCCTCCGTAAAATGGGTCAACAACCTCAGCACCATTTCCTTGGCATCGTAAGAAGGAGCCAACACCTGTGGAAACTCTTTGTAAACCACAGTATGTTTAGTGGGCTGTCCACTGTGGCTCAGTTGAAGAACTATTAAAAATAGATACATATTTTGGAAATTTTACTTGCATATAAAACCACCTCAAAGGCCGGATACCAAACCGTTAACAGTGGTTCTCCCTGACACACAGGTTTCCCACCATACTGTCTTCTTCAGGTTTGTCTTTTCTAAATCTACAATGAACATAGACCCCTTATAAAGTAAAAACAAAGCAACTTTTAGAACTTGAAAGTGTTAATGGTTTGGATTTCTCAAAATCCTTCCTCAAGCTGCATCTCTCCCTAGCCCTCAGGCTCAGAAGTCCTTGACACCATCCACATCCCTAGTTCTGGGACTCTGCAAGGGAGACAGGGGAAAAAAAATCCTCATTTCACAGATAAGGAGACAGGTTCAGAAAAGGACAGCCACTTGCCCAAGGCCACACAGCAGGGAGTGACAGACCTGGGTCTCGCTCCAGCTCTGGGACCAAAGCCTGAGTTCCCCATTTCTCTGTCTGCTCCTCACTGACTGTGCGTTCATTTAGGAATAAATGTGGAAAGTTATTTTAAAAATGGAAGCAGGCATTTTGTAAAACTCTAAGGTTTTAACTATATATTATAGTAATTAAAAATATTGCAATATATGGGGCGCCTGGGTGGCTCAGTGGTTAAGCGTCTGCCTTCGGCTCAGGTCATGGTCCCAGGGTCCTGGGATCGAGCCCCGCATTGGGCTCCCTGCTCCGTGGGAGGCCTGCTTCTCCCTCTCCCACCCCCCTGCTTGTGTTCCTTCTCTCACTGTGTCTCTCCCTGTCAAATAAATAAAAATAAAAGAAAATATATTGCAATATAAAACAATATAATTATAAATATAAATCTCTAAATTATAATAGCTTAAACACAAATATTATTTTAAGTAGTAATATACATACATTTTATTTATTTTTTAAAATTTTACTTATTGGGGCACCTGGGTGGCTCAGACGGTTGGATGTCTGCCTTCGGCTTGGGTCATGATCCCAGGGTCCTGGGATCGAGCCCTGCGTCGGGCTCCCTGCTCTGCGGGGAGTCTGCTTCTTCCCCTCCCTCTGCTTCTCCCCCTGCTCATGCTCTCTCTCCCTCTCTCTGTATCTGTGTCTCAAATGAATAAATAAAAAAAAAATCTTAAAAAAAATTTATTTATTTAGGGATGCCTGGGTGGCTCAGTGGGTTGGGTGTCTGCCTTTGGCTCAGGTCATGATCCCGGGGTCCTGGGATCGAGCCCCGCATTGGGCTCCCTGCTTGGTGGGGAGCCCGCTTCTCCCTCTGCCTGCCGCTCCCTCTGCTTGTGGTTGCTCTCTCTCTCTCTGACAAATAAATAAGTAAAATCTTTAAAAAATAATAACAAAATAAAATTTTATTTATTTAAATAATTTCTACACCCCATGGGAGGCTCGAACTCATGACCTTTCCAAGATGAAGAGCCACATGCTCCTCTGACTAAGCCAGCCAGGTGCCCCTAAATACATTTAAATAAAATTTAATTTTCTTTTTTAAGCAGGCTCCATGTCCAATGTGGTGCTTGAACTCACGACCCTGAGATCAAGAGTCACGTGCTCCACCGACTGAGCCAGCCAGATGGCCTCTAAAATTTAATTTTAAAAGCAACAATCTTCTAAGTAATCCCTGTTCCACCCTCCAACTCCCTCCAAGGGCATAACCTGGAGGTCCCAGGATCCAGTGGGAGTCCCTCCCCAGCAACCTAGCCACCCCCTGCCTACCCCAGACGCACAAGGAGGGATCTCACCTCAATCCACCTGCCGTCGTTCTCTGTAAAGAGGACACAGAAGGGGTCAGACTTGGAGGTCACATCCCGGTCCAGCAGGTTCTGGCCACTCACTGACAGCTCCACCTTGCACACGCAATACTGGGAGCCCATGGGCGCCGCCCCCGCGGCTGGGGCGCCCCCACTAGGGATGTAGGCCATGGGGCTTGGCACTAGTGGCAGCAGTTCCTGGCAGTCTAGGGGGATAGAAGTGGGGGTCAGAGAGGGTAAAGACATGGGCTGTACCACCCCACCCTGAGGAGGTGTCACCCCCTGACCATTGAGATGGGGGTAGAGAGATGGAAGGACAGGTGTGTTGATGGTGGCATGACAAAGGCACAAGCTTGACAAAAGGAGAATGAAGAAAAATGAGTCTCCGGTGGGCGTACTTAGTTCGAAGTTATTATCTGTGTCGGTCAATCTTTACCTATGAGACATGCACAAGGCCAAGTCGCCCCTGTCAGATTAGTGACAGATCACAGTGGCCATGCGCATCTAAGACATTCATTTTGCCAGGAAAACCTGGGCTTCTCCTGGGCGATCAATATTTTGGCATCTTGTGGCTAGAGTGGAGCTTATGATAGCGCAGGTTTCCCTCTTTGCTTTGGCCACTAGGAAGCTCACTCTTGATAACTTATCCGAAATTTGACTTTGTTCATTGCAATCTCATTCATCTTGTGTATCCTGGGCCTAAGCACAGTGACTGATGCACAAGGTGTATGCTTGCTGAATCAAAAAGATGAGCGTAGAAATCAGTGAATGGACAGACCCTCCACATTGCTCAGATTCTGCCTGAGTTGGTCCTTATCCTCAACATAGAATTTACTCTTTCATTCGCATATGACTTCCCCCAAATTCTATGTACAGGGCCTTATGTACCCCTTCCACTGTCATGGCTAATTACTGGCATTTGCTTCCTCTAAGGCAGTTCTGTTTTCCTCCAAGTTCATCTGGAGCAAGTGTGGAGAGACCCATCTCAGGGCATGGAGGGGAGCTCTGGGCTCCACCCATAACAAGGCCCCATGGACAAGCCCTCTGGCTCTCTGTGCCTCAGTTTCCTCATCTGCCCACAAGACTTCATGACACAGCCCTCCCAGACTCCGGTGGTCGGGTCTTATTTCCAGCAGCTCACGTGTAGTTCACATAGGCCCCGTCACCGTGTACATGAGTCCAGCTCCCACTTAACCACATAGGCCTTGACTAATATGTCACCCCCTCACTGCTGAGTGGGTGACCGGCCCTGCACTGCCCCAGAGGGGGGATGCGAATCCAACTTACTGTGCTTCTGAGCACTGACTATGAGCTGAGCAAGTGATATGCTAATCCTCATTCATTCACTCTAGAGTGTTTACTGAGCATCTACTAGGTCCCAGGCCCCCGGCTGGGATTGGGAGCCGGGGCCTGGGATCCTATGGCAAGAAGGTCACCCAGCTCAGTCTCAACTCTCACAGGCTAGCTGACAGCATGGGGAGAGCCGCCCTGGGGGGCACTGGGGCTTTATGCTGAAAGTGATGGAAGTCTCGGGGGGTTTTAAGCAGAGAGGTGACAAGATCTGATTTGTGTTTTGAGCAGCTGACTCTAGCCCCCGTTGGGAGAAGGGGATGTTAGTATGGAGAGGCAGCAGGGAGGCTGCGAGGAGGCGGCTATCAGCCAGGCAGGAGGGAGCAAGCCGCAGTGGCCATGCTGGGCCCAGCCTTCTCCCTCGGACCCGGGTCATGGCCCGCATCCTGAGCGCCAGCCCGCCTCTGGCTGGGCAGACGGAGGCCCCGGTTTGCACAAAGCCTGGGCAAGGGTGGGGCTGGCGCCAGAGGGCCCTCTCCCTCTCCAGACACAGTGCACCCCAGGGCATGCCTGACAAGGGAGGATCCGGGACAGTGACAAAGCCAGTCCTCAGCCCCCTCCCTCCCACCGTCTGTCTCTGCAACCTCATCATCATCACGCGAACCCAGAGCATCAGGATAGCACTGCAATTTGCCCGCAGGATTCATTCCTGTTGTGTAAAAATTAGTTTCCACTGAAAGGGCTGGGAAGACTGCATTCACTCTCCCTGTGTACAGCTGGGTGGCCCTCCACATCAGGGAGGGGTGAGCAAGTCCTCAACCCAGTCTGGAGGGCAGGCGGGGCGGGGGGGGGGGGATAGGGATGTCCAAAAGGGACACCTAGCCATGTGGCTGAGGGATTGCCTGTTTATGCTCACAACCACCCGAAGTGTTTCCTCATTTTACAGATGAGGAAACAGGTCCAGAGAGTACAAGTCACCTGCCCAAGGTCTCAGGGCCAGGAAGCCACAGAGGCAGGGTATGAGCCGGGTCTCCAGGCCCCCCAGGCCCATCTGCGGCCTTCTGGCCAGGGCTGGGGCACTGCTGAGGATGGTGAGGAACTAGGGATGAAGGGGAGTCAGCGTGGCCAAAGGGAACCCCATTTCCTCGGGAGTCTCACTGTTCCCATCTCTGGGGTCATCCCTGATGGGTTGGGTTCCATCCAGGCTACCCGCCTCCTCTCCACCTGACGGGCCCCCTTCATGACACGCTAGATGCCACACTGTTCCCCCTGCTGTCAAGTCAGAGGCATCTGCTTTCACCCCGAGGGGTGTCAGGGACTTCCCTGTGCATGCGCACACAGTGTATGGTCACATACACACACGTGTATGCGTGCTCCAGATGACCAGCGGCAAAGGCACGCCCGCATATGAACACCTAGGGCGGCTTCTCCCCTGCCCCTGGCCCCCGCCCCCCACGTCCAAGCCACCACCATCGCTCTGCTGTCCTCCCACCCCACACTGACTCGGGCCTGGCTGAGGGCATGGCAGGAAGGGCCAGGTCCCAGGGGAGGGTCAGGCCGGGCCAAGCTCCTTGGAGCCCGCGGCAACTCCACCTGCTTAGCCGGCAGGCCCCAGCTAGAGTGAGCAAGAGGTGGGCAGCGGAGGGGCACTTCTCCCCCAGCTCGGGGCGGGCAGGTTCCCCATCCCCAACTCACCCTCTGGCAGGAAGCTTCTGGATCCCCGAAATGGGGAGCACATGATGTCCGGAGTTGGGGCAGGCAAGGGTCAGAGTGGGCCCCTCTGTGCCAGCCCGGCAGCGGGCAGGCGGGCCGGACCCTGAGGCCTGACGCAACGGAAAAAGAAATCACAGCTTATGCCGGGCCGGGCCCCCTCCCCTCCTACTCCAGCAGGAGGGCAGGCGGACAAGGTGTCATTAAGGGAGGGTTGGGCCTGCCATGCGCATCTGGGCCAAATGGAAACCTCCTTAATGCAGCACCCACCCCACAGGTGATTTGAGGTTATGGGCAGCAGAGGGGGCATGGGGAGCCAGGGCCTGCTCGCAGATGGTCCTGACTCTTGGCCCAGGTGGGCACAGGTCTGCTAGGGTGACCAGATCCTCAGGGAAGGAGCTGGAAGGGGGAGATACAAAACTAGTAGTCTCTCGTACAGATGAGGCAAAGAGAGGGCAGGGCTTGGGAATTCCCATTCATTCCTTCCACAAACACTCCCCAAGTGCCCTGCAATGAAGAGCTATGACCAAGACACAGAGGCTTCAGCCCCCCACAGGGTCCACTGGCCCTCGCTCCTAATGCATCTTGCCCTTCAGGCGGACAGGACAGGATCTGGAGACTCGGGTGCTGAACCACGGGTGTAGAGGGAGGGAGAGAACCCACCGTGCAGGCTCTTTAATCTCAGAGAAATGACAACCACCTCTTCCTGACACACATCACAAAGATCACAAAGCCGTTACTCAAACCCTGGACCCTCATGATTGCTCCAAGAGACCAGCAGGGGAGGGTTTCACATCCCCCTTCACAAGGGTGGAAACTGAGGCCCCAGAAGGGGCAGTGGTTTCTCTAAAACAGGGAAGGATGATGCTGAGGCCAAAGGCCTGGTTGCTTAACTCCATCCTTCCGCCCACGATTAGCCCCAGTGGCTCAGGGCCCAGGAGCTGGGCTGTGCACTCCACTCACTACGGGGAGGAGATGCCGAGGCCTGGAGGGCTCCCAACTCAGAGATGGGCAGTGGCAGGGAGGCACCAAGAAAGGCAGGCACAGGGAGATGGGCAGTGGGGCGGGGGAGGCAGACGGCTGAGCTGGAGAGTGGGGGAGCCAGCCGGGGAAAAGAGGGGATGGAAGGTGAAGGGCGGGGCTGAGGTGCCCAGGGAGGCAGCAAGTCCCTACTCCGGAGAGTCTCAGCTGCTGGAGAGTATGGGGCAAGTGTAACAACGTGACAGCCTATCAGGACTTCTGGTGGAGGTCAGCAATGTGCCCCTTGAAAAAGCGTGTTTAACTTGATATTTAGAAGATGCAAAAAAGGAATGCCGTTTTCAGTGCCCACTATGGAAAATAACACTCCACAAAGTCTGGTCGGTGGCAGTAACAAGGACGGGGGCTCAGTCCTCTGATCGGTGCCGGCGACAGTGAAGACCACGGGCTCTGGACTCAGAACGCCCGACTTTGAACCCCCAGTTCTGCTATTTACCCGCTGTGCGTCTTTGGGCGAGTTACTTAATCTCTCTGGTCTCAGTTTCCCCCCTCTACAAAACGATGACAGTGAGAGAGCTCTCACAGAGTACGGTGAGGATTAAGCGAAGGAAAGCACTTGGAATGACAGCTTGTAGCTGGTGTTTTTATCAGCAATTCTTGACGGCTGGGGGCAGGCGGAGCCGATCGAAATCTCGGGAGATGCGTGAAGTGTATGGATTACAAAAGGGGGCCGAGAGTTGAAACTGGTTGAGAAATATGGCTCTAGGCTCCCCTTTTCAACCGGAAGACACGGTGCTGGGATGCCAGTGGCAGGCAAGGTGGTGGCTGGGGGGCCAGGGAGGGGCTAACGGATTCAGGCCCCACCAGGTGCATGCCTCAGGGCCTTTGGGTCCTCACCCATGCAGAGGACCCCGCTCCATGGGGTCTCGTCACTGACAGCAGAGACTCCAGCGGTGGTGGCCCCAGGCTCTCGCAGCTCCACATGTGTTTCCCGGGTGGGCCACCTCACCATCTCCCGGGAGCTTGTCAGGAATGCAGCATCCTGGGCCCCACCAGAGCTGCTCAGTCAGAACCCCTAGAGTGGCACTTAGCAACCTGTGTTTTAACAAACCCTCCTGGTGATTCTGCGGTGGGCTAACGTATACTCAAGGGCCAGTGGGGTGGCTAAGTGGGGCATCGTGCTAAAATGCAGATTCTGATTCAGCAGGTCTGGGGAGGGACTTCAATGTCTGCGTTTCTAATCAGCCCCCAGGATGCTGAGGCTGCCCATCTGGGACCACGCTTTGAGCTTTGAGCTCCTAGATCCAAGGTTGCAGTACGGCCACCTCATGGCTGGCCACGTCCCAGGGAGGGCTCTGGGTTAGCCCGCGCTTGGTGTAATTAGGCAGATGTCATATTTGGTCCTCATACCAGGACTGTTCCCAGCCAGGTCTCTGCAGATCTCTGAGTTTGCGATGTCCCGTCTAGAGGGTGACACTGTTGGCCAGAGCCCTCGGAGAACCAGATACCTGGTCCCCACCGGCCCTGATGGCTACACTGGCGGAACTTCTGGGGTCGGATTGTGTCTTGACTGTGTCCAGATCTAAGTCACCTCCTTCGCCCCATTTCCTAGACAAGATGATCCAGGAAGACAAATGGCAACTGTATGAGGCTTCCCCAGAGAAAACAGAACCAATAGGATAGCTATATATAGAGAAAGAGGTTTCTTTT